TGGTGGCCCTTGTTTCCTTTCGTTTCTTCCGACTGCTCTGTGTGAAGACGTTTGCATGAATTAGCTGGCAACTGGGCGCCATACTTGAGTATGCGCACGCAATTTGCGCAGATTTAAGATTTTCCATCACAAGCACCCAAAATATTAACTCGGAAGGAATAATCGTCCTTGTTTGTTGCCTTATTATGCACACCATGGTACGTGAACATACTTCAAGATCAACCTGGGACAATGATCCAAACAGCCACCCCATCCGTGAGAATAATGCCTTGTCTTCATGCTCGCGCACTGCTGTCTCACCAGCAGGGCACGCCACAGGCGAGGCACAGTCCGCCGCCGACGGGTCAGCGTCCTTGACCGCCATCGCAGGCCAATCAGAGCCGTTTGCGGGGATCGCAGAGCCTCGAGGCACGTGAGGTCGTGAGGCTCACGGCCGGCCGGAACCACTCGAGCGCCTACTGACGGGTCGAGTGAGGGCTGGCATATTTCGGGACGTTGGGAGCTTCGAGGAAGGTGAGTCGCGCACGTGAAATGTGCATGATGATTGTATTTGACCTCTCGCTGGTTTTGGCGCTTCTTATCCTCGCTGCTTTTGCTTATGGGTAATCATTTCACTAGAGCCTCGTCTTGGCAGGGCGCGAGAGGGGTTTCTTAGTGAAGGACATGGCACGGACAATACCCTTCCTAAAGCCGACGCCTTGGCAACCACCGATAATTGGTTCACACAGTTCTGGGCAACAGGAGGTGACATTCTTAACGGTTATCGTGCATAAACTTGATAGCACTTTATTGCAAGGTGTTTATCGGGCGGGATTGAACAGGTCTCCTCCGTTCGGTCAGCGCAGGCAGCGCAATGTTTCTAATTGCTTGAAAGGCTAGCAACACCAGGCTTACGGACTCATTATGAGCGGACAGTCGTAAGGGCAAGAGCAAAGTTAATATGTGCAGCCAACTGTGCAGCCAGTCACGTGCTCGTGCCGGCGACATAGTCTGTACGGCTTTGGCGCCTGAAGATTGCGTCGGATCTTCACAATCATTCGAAAACTGAATGACGCTGATATAGTACGTAAAAATCGCCACTGATGCGTCTTAGCGCCCTGTGTTGTCGTTTTTGAGATGATCCTATCTTTGAATTATTGACTCAAATTGCATGAAATTTAAACGGAAACGCTAACGGGGCCTGCAGTCATTTTTGAAAAGCCTCTGTGTGGGCTGGCATGATACTGCCCGAAGCTACACCAGTCCCGGTGGCAGAGCACAGCCGAGGCCCGACCCAGCCGGGTCTGCCTCTCTGGTCAGATTAGGAAGACAGCGCTGCAGTCCGTGGCCAGTGTTTTCCTGCCCAATTATTATGCAGGTTCTTGCAATCATCCGTTCTCACAAATCGTCGCGTACTCCTAAGTAATCTCCCCTGCCCAAACAACATCTTGTGTGCGTTAAATGATTGTAGAGACTGCTTTAGCCTCACTAGGGACCCTAGACTCTTCAAAATGTGTTGAATTTCTGCGCCATCGCGTCGTTGGGCAGATTACAATAATTTTTCCCGTGCTGACATCAGGCGATTGTTTTCATCCCATGATTGTCTAACGCGCTGCCACATCTCTATTTCAGGATACATCCGTCTGTGACATCAAGAGTACCCATAATGCGCATCTCCACCGCCACCGTCTTGTTGCTGCTAACGCTTATCTGCTGTGGCCTGCCCTGCCACGGCGGCGACGGCCGTCACGGCCACGGCAGCAGCAAAGGTCATGACAGCGGCCGTGGAGGTCACCACCACCACCACCATCACCACAGCGACGGCAGCAGCAGCCACCGACACCACCGGCGGTCCATCTCTCGGGGCCGCTTCGGCCACAGAGTCTCCCGGGGACCGGTCTTCCCCGCCGGCCACTACGGCCACCACGCCGGCGCATACCACAAGCTCGGCTACGCGAGGCGCGCGGGCCGCCTGTTCTCGCACGGGCGCGTCGCTCATGTCGGTCACGTGCGGCCCGTGGGCCACGGCAAGCTGGCGAGCCGCTACGGGCACATCGGGCACGTGCCCCACGTCGGCTACGGGCGTCCGCTCCGCCCCCGTGTGATCGCCATCCCGGTGGGTAACAAAACTCGCCTGCAACGCCTGCGGCTCTTGGGTCAGGTCACGCGGGCGCTCGGCTAGCCGCGTAGAGTGAGCATCGAGAGGCGGCGCCGCGGGGGGGGGGGGGGGAGAGGAGGGGAGGGAGGTGGTGCCGAGCGGTTGTACAGTGTGTGGGGCTGGGACCGGTACGCCTTGGTTGGGCTTAGGTCAGGTCAGGTCAGGTCACGCGCGCGCTCGGCTAACGAGAGTGCAGTTGGGAGCATCGAGAGGCAGTGCGTGGGGGGGGGGGGGGGGGGATGGCGCCGAGCGGCTGTACAGTGTGTGGGGCGGGGACCGCTGCGCCTTGGCTCGGTTTGTCCACATTGGCCACGGACGTTCGCTCCACCCCCGCGTGGTCGCCGTCCCGGTGGGTAACAAAACTCGCCTGGAACGCCGGCGCCTCTGGGTCAGGTCACGTGGGCGCTCGGCTAGCCGGGGGGGGGGGGGGAGGGCATCGATAGGCGGCGCCGCGGGGAAGAGGACGGCGCCGGGCGGTTGTACAGTGTGTGGGGCGGGGTCCGGTGCGCCTTGCCTAGGCTTGTCTGGTTCACCGTCTCCATTGTGGAGTTGGAGTCAGACGCCGTGTCTGGGTTTCTTGTTTCATCCAGAGTCCGTCGCATTTTTGCGCAGACTAACGTAAGCGGGACTGACGATTGCAGTGTTTTTACTTGCGTGATGGATCTCCAGTGTTCTACCTGCATAGTTGTGCTGTTGTCGTTGATTGTGTCCTGTCTAGGACCGAATGCTCTTCTCTTTGGCTGTGAGTTCTGAAGCCGCGCCACGAGACCCTGTCCTGGCCTTTTACGCGTTCTCCAGAATGTTATGCGATGAACTTGACCGACCGGTTCTCTGTGTGTCGTCTTGCACTATCGAGCCTGTTTGGTGCGATGAACAAACGGTTTTCCATGAGCTTCCCGTGTTCTGCCTAGATTGCATTATCTCTTGCTTTTTACGGCGCGTTTGATGGTAGATAACCTCAGTAAGTCGTTTTAGGTCTCCACGTCGTTGCTGTCATCTTTGCCGTGGTATTGAGCCATTTACTCGCCCTCGCGTACTTCCTCCAAGCCTTACGTGTTTGGTCATCATCGGACGTGTTCTGTGTAGATGCTATAAATGTACCTTCTCTGAAATGTCCTGCGAAGAACTTGACCGATCAGTTTTGGTCCGGTATATTGTGTTCCCCGGCCTGTTTGGTATGATGAACGAACATTGTTTCATTCGTTTCTTGTGTCCGTGTTATTTGTGTACTTACACTTATCATTCTTACATTTCACAGCGCGTTTCTCGGTGGTAAACCACAGTGGATTCTTGTTTCAGGCTTCCATTGCCATTCCATTTTGTCATTTGTCATCGTCATTGTTTCATGTCTTCCGTTGACTGTTGTCTCCGCCATGGTCTCGAGCCACTCATCCTCGCGTACTTGAAGTGTCATCTGTTCTGTCATGAGACATGCTCTATGTAAATTCCTCGGCTGTATTCGGGCGCAATAAACAGACGGCAGACGATTGGAGCTCTTTACCATTTAGCAGTCTGAATCGTATCCATGGCGCGTACACGCTTCGAATTTGAATAACTGTTCTGAAATATGTGGAGGCCCCCACGAAACATGTTTCGTTGCGCCTTGTATGCGCGTCGGCTGGCCGGGAGATAACTCGCCGAACAAATACTTGTCCAGCTCCCATGGCTGGGGCTTATGCAGAACGTCCGTTAGAATATTCATGTTTTTGTGCAGTTTGATCGGGGAACGGTCGATGCTTTGGTAATAACGCACGCAGCACTGGCTGGTCCCCAAACTGGTTATAAGCAGGCGAATACGTGCACGTGCGGGTCCGTTACCAACCTGGCCCGCTCGTACGTGGCTCGGAACTTGCGAGTATGCAAAGGCGCGAAGGCGTACCTTAAAATCTTTGAAAGAGGTCATGCGAGGCTATCAATGCTGCGGAACACAATTTTGAAGCGACTCTGGGCAATGAACGTCCTCTGAGACGACTGCTCCGCCACAAGTACCCTTTTTCGATTCTTTCAGCCTATTGGCAGTTGAGTGAGACTTCCCGCCCCCTGGCGGGAAGATGGCGATAATATTTAGACTGGTCTGACCCACGCGCACGCATGTCGAGCAGCGCAAAATTGGCACGTAAGACTTGTGTGTGATTCTTGGCTTGCTGGGGGACTCGGCCATTCTTATAACATGACGCACAATATCTTCATCTGTGGTACTTGAGAGCCACGCACGGCTTGTGGGTTGACTTCCGCAACATCCGACTGCTGGGTTTTTTACTCTCCCCGATCCGAGAGATGCGTGTCACTAATTTTCGGGTTCAGCGCCTTATCGGTTCGAGAGGTTGAGCGAGGGGATAGGTGACTGCAGAGAGCGGGCTCAACGATGGTACTGACCGCACTGGCACTCCCGTCCCGTCTCGTCTCCGGTGCAAGTACCCTGTACCCATGCTCCCTTTCCTATGCTGCTCACTGGTCGCGAAACCCAGCTACAGTTACAACTCCGAATTAAAACAAGTTATACAATGATCTTCGAGCTGGGAGCTGGCTTTTTTTACAATAAACCTTCCGGTTCCAGTCTGAGTCCTCTCGTCCTGAGTCCTTTCAGGTCTCAACTGAGCTCTCAGGAGGTCAGCTGCGAAGTACTCTGGTACTTCGGTTCTACTCCAGCCGAGTCCTCTAGAGTCCGAGCCGAGATCTCTCGACCCCACCTGGGTCTTCCCTCTGCAGCCGCGGCCGCACCCTCTGACGTCCCAGCCGAGCTCTCCTGGCCGGGCCAGGTCCGCTCCGCTGACGCCCGCGGCTGCGTCGGGGGCGGCGCCGCCGTCCGACCGGGTAATACACCCGCCGCCGCCACCGCTGTCGCCCAGTGTTCCGCCAGCACCGGGGCTGACAGCACCGGTACACAGCGGCGCGCGGTGCCAACACGCGTACTCCAGTGACCCCGCGTAAAAACGACCCGGTCGACCCGGCGTGCGGCAGACGCCAGCAGACGCAGGGGCGCCACGGTAAGGTGGTCCGTGGTGGCCTTACGACTGTGGGAGGGTCTTTGTGTCGATTTTGGAAGTTAAGAAAACGCAACAGTATTTTGCCAGTTTGAAATGAATGCTCATTTTTTTGGTTTCTGCACTGGCGAGTAGTTACGGGTTATGTTTGTAGCATAAGACTAAAATGCGGAGACATGGACTGATTTGGCTAAAAGACTATTGATAGGTGCGTTTAGTAGTTTTGAATCGTGGTAGATTTGTTCAGACAATTAATGTGGTGAAGAAACTGCTTCAAATGCTAGTACAAAATGCATTTTCCCTCGTCACAATCCAAAGTTTTGTGCAGATTGCATCTTCATTGTGTTATAAATGCAGACGGACCCCTCATGTGTCCGTCGGGTTTCACCTTTGTTGTGTTTATGTACGACTGTCCTGCCGTCCGCCGCGCCAATGGGGCAAGCTACGAGCAGGCTGGTTGCGGGGTTGTGGCTTGACGATCATGAAGTGACTCGTGCCGTACGTGTTCCAGATGTCCTTGCACGCGCTGCTGTTTGTATTGGGCGGTCTAATTACGCTGTCGTCATGCTCCCTTGGGCACGGCGCAAGGGACTCGTACTTCGATAGCGGCACGCCGAACGGTGAGTGGGACGGCGTCCAAGGACGACTGTTTCTCTGTTTTGCATGGTCCCAGGTAAGCGTGTGGCACAAGCGCGCACATTACCCGAAAAAGGTATTGAGACAAGGACAGCGGAGTGCAATGGAAGATGGCTCTCAAGGGTTGTTTTTGTTATTTTCTTTAAAATCGTTGATCTTACCTGAAAAATACCAACGACACGTAATATGCATAAATTGTATACACGACGTTTTGACCTATATGCATAATCATTTGAACACGGATGGCAGAAGAACCACATGCGATGAATGAGGCTTGATATAACAGAGAAATGTTGCCTTCATTACCTTTTCGCTATTTGCATCTGTTGTTGCCACTCGCAATGGTGGCTAGCTGCATCTATACTGCCTTTAATTCGAGGCCTGTCGGACATATGAGCTCACACTTTAGCCAACTCGCAAGTCCTCATTCGTTAGCCTTTTGATCCACGCTGTCGTCGACAAGCGCACATTGTTCGTAAAGTTCACTCATATGCGAGCTTGCATACGGCCCTATACGAGTTGGCACACAGCGTTGGACAGATGGGAGTGTAATGAGCAGGTGGTTAACGCCTTGGACTCCCACGTGCGGGCTTGCGTTCGAACCTCGGTTGCATCATGGCCCCTGAGCTCTAATATGATCAATGCGGTCGCTAGCGCTCCATAAAAGGGATGTGACGACGCGTTTCGCGTTAAAAAGCGCTTGACGAAGACACATCAGTTCCTTCTTTGTGCAGCATCGAATTACATACTGAACCCTTCGAGTAGGCAATAACGTTGCAATCAATACTTGGTCCCGTAGCTAACTCGCACAACATTTCAAAAGCTAGTGGTGCCTGCCTGCGATTCTGCGAGAACAATGCAATGGAAATATAAAACTCCGCGCCGACTCCCACACATCGTCTCGCGTGAACCGACGCACTCCTCCACACCTTATCTAGCAACAGACGTGATCATTCCGTGCCATTTTCTGCAATCAGCCGGTTCGGCGCCGCGCACGCAGACCCGGGTCACGACTTCCGGTGACCTCCGCAAGCGTCAAGAGTCACGTGACGTCCTCGTCGGCCGCGGAGGCTCTGCCCGGGCGGTGACCTCTTGACCCGCGGTGCGCCCTCGCGGAGCCCGATTCCCGGTTGTGCAGGCGTCACGTGTCCCTGATCGTGGCGCTCCGGTGGCGGAAGTCGTTTTTTGAGGGTATCAGAGAATCGCGTCCGCTGGGTGACGGCTACCTTGATGGATTACCCCACGCGGCATACGCGGATGGGTGAGCACGCCACCCCGGACCAGGCGCCGTTAAATCGGCCGTGGACACCGGGCTCGCCTGGTCTGCACCCAGTGGGACACCAGTCCCCGGACACCAGCCCCGACACCGGGCTCGCCTGGTCTGCACCCAGTGGGACACCAGTCCCCGGACACCAGCCCCGACACCGGGCTCGCCTGGTCTGCACCCAGGTAGGACACCAGTCCCCGGCAGGCCAATAACTAGATCGACCGCCCATGTGCGTAAATGTCACGAATCCGAAAACATAAAATGCTGATGATCGGCCTGGGCTGGAATTATAGGTTACTTGGCATGGTCCTGCGCGCTCTATTGGGGCGTTGTAAACGGTCATGTAGTTCTTGGTAATGCTTTTTATGGGTGAGTGGTAGCGTAAACTGCACACTTACGTTATCAAGCCTGTGGACGGGTGCAGATTCAAGGCTGCTGAAAGAAGCACAGGACCCCATTCGACAAGGATACGTTATGGTATCCACAGCAGCCTAACGAGACCGCCGTAGTGTTGTTTAACCATGCGGTGCGATAACAGACTTATAGAGCCCGGTCAATCAAGATTTGATTTACACCGCCATAGACACCTTTTTAAATAAACAGCGGTAGTGGAAACAATAAATCAGCTATTCAGCGCTGAATGTGAAGGTCACAATGTACTACAAACAAAGGTTATCTGATCCTCCTTGATGGCCAGTTTGCGCTCTTCAGTTCTAACGGTTCGCTAACGTCGTTCCATTGTCGCCGGCCACAGAGGGGAACGTCCTCTACCGACAACAATGGCGCAGATGTTAGCTGGGCTGGGCCGACGCGGACCGCGTCCGATCGGCTCATTCCGTTAAATATAAACAAGCTGGTTGGAATATTATCTTTTTGCGTTTGCGATGTCCCAGTTCGGGAATATTTTCATACACATCTAGCGTTTACAAATAAATTTGCTTTTAGTAGGGTACTACTGAGAAATGCCGTTATAACAACGGGTCGTTGGGCACGCAGAATACATAATTTGCTCGTAATTTGATGATGAAGTAGTCAAGGGTTTATAAGACAGTATAAGACAGCAGCCTTGACTAAATACTCACTTTTTTGGACGAGTGTGGGATGCTGCCAACGTTTCGAACCTAGCAATTACCAAGATAGCAGATTTCAGCAGCAGTGGCGTGGTTCTACTAAAACTAACTTATTTCTTACTGAAGCTAATGCGCGTCCTACATTCCAGGAAACAAACCCGCACAAATTAAAATCCTACTACGGCACCTGCGTTCACATGCCACTGACGTCTTTGACGGCTAATGCTCGCGCAGCCCCCCCCCCCCCCCCCCCCCCGCTTTCTGCGAGCTCGTCGACCCGTGGATGGGAAGACCTCAGGCAGCTAGCCTGTGCCGTGTTTAAAGGCGCCCTGCTCAGGTGCGCTGATGCCGCCCCACTGCACTCATCTCGTTCTTGAAGCTGCGGTGGCGCAGTGCGGCGGCAGATGCAGCAAAACTGTGGGGCCGAAGTAGGTCTCTTTTGATTTTTCCTAAAATGGCTTGGAGACTGAGTTTTCAAGGGCGGTTTTCAACCCCAGCAAATTCCAAGCACACATGTGAAGAATTGATACCCTTACGCGGTGTCTTCAACCGCAACACTAAGACAAAAACTGGGACATGATGGAAGCCTGTCCAGCTGTTATCTGCCACTCATCTAGCCCGTGGAAGCCAACAAGGTGTGCACAGATAAACTCTCGCTATCTTATTGCCCGCAGACCAAGCGTAATGTTTTTCATCTGAAAGATACATCGTCATTCCATGCACTGATACATGACATATTGTCACAGGTGTGTTTTGTTCAGCCGTTATGGCCTAAAACATTGCAGTGATGGAATGCTTCCAGGTGGTATTCACCACCACTGGGTGCGCGTTAAGGCCAGAACTTCGTGGAATTATTGCAGCTTAAAAAAACAACTTCCTGCAAAAGGCAACGTGCCATATGAATCAGAAGAGTGCGTCACAGGTTTTTACTCTGTTGGTAAGATGACGAGTTTCCGGGAGATACAACCCCTCCAACGCCAATCTCGCAGAAATGGTGTTACACATTCTAGTCACCAGTCGCTGTACTGCGTGCTAACGGTGAGAAAGGCAGCGACCATTGTCGGTGTGGTTCCCGTCGATTTTCTTTGTCCGATGTTTTGACGGTGCCGATGTAATTTCCACCGTTTCCTTGTTCGACTTCTGAACGGGAAGTTCGATGATATGCGATAAGCGCTGCGATAAGACAACGGGCAGATACAGATGACTCGTCGCTTTCCTGCCGCCGCCGCGCCATACTGCAACCGGGAACAAAACTCGCGAACCATTCGTGCAACGCGTAGCTGCACGCATCCCATATGTCTGTCAAGGGTCCGGCCCGGGGTTTCCGGCCGTTTCCCGTGGCCAACCTGAGAGGGGTTTTATGATCAAGCCACGATGCAGATGACGGCACGCGGAGTTACTTGCGATATTGCGCTCTGCACATCACTGCCACCTGCACCACCCTCGCCGGCGTGCGATGTCCCCTTCACGCGGTGCCTGTCGCCAAGGCGTCTCTCAGACCGCGGACATGGACCACTTGCACGAGTATGCGAGAGCGCGCTGTCCAACGGTCTCCCGGGTCTGCCGTTCGTGAGCCCATGCCTGCGATTTTCCTCGGACTGCATGACGTCGACCGTGCTGCGCACTTCTGGGTGGGCCGGGAATGGGCTTCTTTGCCACGTCATGGTCGTCGATTGTTGCAACCACGATTTCATTGGCCGTAAGCGTCGACGCGGGCGTCGCTGCAGCGGAGCGCTTGCACAGGCTGTTTGTTTTTACTACTTGCTATGTTTATAGCCGCTTCACCGGGCTTTCCCTTTTTAACGAACGCGCCTTTGTCACGAAGGCTTTCGCTCACGAAGTGGAAAACGAAAGGATGCACACTGCTCCGGCTACCAAGCTCTCATTACGGCACGGGTGGGTGACATCATGTCGTCGTCTAGCTAAAGATCCCAAAATATGCTCTACGGTGTAAGTCACACACGGTGTAGATCACACATTGAGTGTGCGATCCTGAGATTTCATGGCTCGAGGCGGTGATTCCGTCCGCGACAGGTCAGGAGCGTTGGTTCGGACGCGTGATTCCGTCCGCGACAGGTCATGAGCTTTGGTACGGAACGCGTGATTCCGTCCGCGACAGGTCAGGAGCGTTGGTCCGGACGCATCATTCCGTCCGCGACAGGTCAGGAGCGTTAGTCCGGACGCGTGATTCCGTCCGCGACAGGTCAGAAGCGTTGGTCCGGACGCGTGATTCCGTCCGCGACAGGTCAGGAGCGTTGGTCCGGACGCGTGATTCCGTCCACGACAGGTCAGGAGCGCTGGACCGGACGCGTGATTCAGCTTTCGTCGGGGAGCCAACGCCCCCGAACCAGCTTCCGTCGGACGTTTATCACTCGGCCAGCGTCATTGCTGGGAACGCATTGTGCTGCGCTTGACTCCCACTGTCATATGTCAAAGCGCCGCGGAGTCGCCAGGAGCGTGGTCGCAGTGCCGTGGTAGGCCACCGAGCAGCCTTCGCGCCAAACCCACCCGGAGAAAACGCGCGAGAACGCATGCCTTCTGGGCGTCCGAGCTTTCTACCATGACGCTGGGGGTCGGGCCCAGTTAACCCAGTGATGCTGGCACGGCACTTAGCTGTTCCTCTTCCCGTCTTACTGTCATTTCCGAGCCTACTTTCCCGCTCGTTATGAGCGAGCTCATGATCGTGGGAATGCGAGACTTCTCTGAGCCGCGCAGCCGTAAGTGTTACCTTACGACGGCTGCTTACGACATATCACGTTTCAACAACGGCGAGCTCGCTTGCCGCTCGTTACACCTGCAGAGTGCGGTGACTAGCAAGAGTTTTGCTTTAACCCTGTGCAAAGAATTTGTCCCGAATGACAAATGACGTCATCAGATGAGCATTAATATCTGGTTTATCCACATCATCAGCCTCTGACATGGCACGAGTCCAGGCGGCACACGATGGGTGCATTAGGTACGACGTCGGCGCCTGTATACATGGAGGTCGACGAGGATCTTCTTACCACTCTCTCCCCAAATTATCCTTGATCCGTCTCACTTCACTGCTCGGATATGCGAGCCAATTATGGCCGGGGCACGTGGTCAGCTGGTGGGCGACTCTCCCCAGAGGAAGCTTGGCCCGGGCGACGGCGGCCAGGAGCGGCGTCCTGAGGCCCCACGGGCCGGTTGGAGAAACTCGAAACTTGCTGCGTGAAATTGACTTGAAGGGCAGTGACGCTGGGTTTCTCTGAAGAAAACGATAGGCTTGTTACGTGCCAGACTTAATGATATGCCTGGAGCTTGGAAGTTTACGGGCATTCGACTCCACCGTCAGGAGATTTGAGAGTTTTGATGCTTTGTGACTGAAAGTGCATGCAAAGCATACATGCGATTGATCGTATCCAAAATTAGCTGGAAACAATAGGGTTACATAGCAAAAAGACGAATTCAAAAGCAAAACATAATGAAGAAACAGCAACTTTCTAACTGGCATCCGGGGGCTGCAGGCTGGACGCAAGACCAGTAGCCTTGATCTGTATACTGAGTCCAGCGGACCCCTTCAGTCGTGCGAAACAACGGAAGGTCAAATATAGACCGTTGCATGAAGCCATTGTGAAATAATGATAGTGTTACCAACATAATGTATCTGAGCCGTTCCACACAAGGCAAGAAATAGTGAGTGACTGATCCCATCATAATTCAGGCATGTTTTACGCAGCACTTTTTCTTTCTGCACAGAAGTGCACTTCCCTCACTTACTGTATTCTTTAAAGTGGTTTGCTCTACATGAAAATCACTTTCATATGATCGTTTCATATGGTCAGTCTCACTCGCCTTCAGACGGGCAAACTGAAAGCACATTACTTTTCTGCCGGTGGCAGTCCGAAAGTTCAGATGTGACCAACGATCATGTGATTCGAACTGTGTAGAGGCTGACGAGGACACGATCTCATGGTTTGACTGCAACCTTTACAGCGTTTGCACGTATATGTCCTCCGGGGATATCTAGGCAAAGCTGAGCTAAGCTTAGAAAGCTGAGGCAACTGCATGTTTCCTGCACGTTATATGTGCAGAGAAATAAGGTCAGCGCCTTTGACCACCACGCAAGTTGGCAGGCCTCCTGCCACGTGCGGTGGAAACATATCGCCTCTATATTAACACTGATGATGTGATCGCAGCCTTGACTAAGACTCTACACGAAAGACGAGTGACTAATACAGAAACGCGAACTTCGCATGTGGGAAAAATAAATGAGCGTGAAGCCAGTGCGACGTGGGTGCACGCTGGAATGCGCGGGTGCGGCTGGCTGCAGGTTTTCCTTATCAGCTACTGTCGCACCAGATTCAGCCCGCCCTTCCCGCGCTGTCCTACAGACTGGAACGACGACAGTGTCTTAGCGGCACTGCCTGGAAAGAGCTGGTTATCAGCGTTCGCTTGCGTGCACAATAGCCGCACTTGGGTTTGTTCACCGCACATGAAGCCGTAAGGCCGTTTCCTGCGCCGCCCCAACAATCAGCTGTTCATGTGTTGTTCTGGTGGCATTTACAAGTTCACATTTGGTAGCTGTGTAGTATACGGATATTCGACAACAGCATCTTGTTCGGGCTCAATTAGCCTGCCACAGATACCTGCAGCTCCTTCGTTGTTAATAGTTCCTGATATTCTCAGATACTGTTTCTCTAAGTACGTGCGCAAGAGCGTAGAAGCTGGGGCTATGGAGTATGAGGGTTAGGAATATTAGTACCTACTTGGCGGTTGTGAGGTGGGGCAATAGGCCTACAGCGGACTTCTGAAAAGAGGGGAAACAATTGCACTTATTTCTTTTTCCATTCTCTTTGCTCAACGCTGCACCGGTCCCAATTTAATCACAAATGATATCTCTACGCAGGAGATATAATGGCTTCCAGTGACCCTTGGCAGCTGTTTTCCAAGCCACCAGAGCTGCTACCTTGATAGCAAGCGTCTTTTCGCGAACATGAATTACAAACGAACTGTCAAAACCAAACGTTCTAGACAATCTAGAGGCGATTTCAAGGAAAGGTCTTGGGAGGTATGCTTTGAAAAAATCGCTGGCTGCCTCTTTAGCCATGATCGGTCCATATTTGAGTGAGGTGAATTGTACCACAGCCGTTTACACCAAGACGGGATCATCTTTAGATGTCGTATGGTGCGTGTGATCTGCCTTGAGCAAACCCAGGAGGATCGACACCGATGCCATTTTGAAGACATATGTACATTCTAAGCATATGCGCCCCTGACATTGGAACAGGGGTGCTGTCCAGTCATATAGACGAAATGCAAATATTCAGTGGCATTTTTTCTCGATTACACCAGTGCTTATGCTGTGATAATGTGTTCATAATTTCAGCAGCTTTTTGCATCTCTATAACAATATGTAACAGGTGCAGTGTCAAGTGATATGGATAGGTACGCGCATGATACCCTTTTAAATGGTTAATGTGCACCGGTACCAAATGCTTTGGCGTTGGACCTTGAACGGTAATCGAATTGACGCTCGTTTTCAATATTCTTGCACCCACCACTGGCAAAATCAGCTGACTGGGTTCCTGCAATGTGTGCGACCTGATTAACATGGTCATAAATCTGCGAACATCACTGAGATAAATCCCTTAAATAACAACAGATAGCAGCGTGCGCTGCTAAGTATACCTACTGCCACTACTGCTGCTAAGTATACCTACCACCTACTGCTAAGTATACTTAATCTGCAATTTATTTATTCAAGATCATATTTGTGAAATGGTCTTTTCTGGTTGCGTTTATTATATTTAGCTATCCTCCTATTTACTAGAGCGGCATTAAAGTGGAGGTGACCTGTTTGTTGTCGTTTGTTTTCTCCCCCCGTAACCGCACATTTCTACAACCGTCATTGACGATAAAAGGTTTCTTTGCATCGTGCCATACTCTATATAGTTTCTCGAATCCAATTTATTGCTACTTTTTCTACCCATAAAGCATGCACTCCGAGACACGCTTTCCATTTTTCTTCGCTCGTGAGCGCTTTATTGATGACATTTGCTCAAGTTTGCATGTCAGATGAGAGTTTACGCTTAGGCCGTCAGTAGAGGCCCTATCATTACGAAATCAGTGGATTTTCATATATTATATTCCTTTCTTATATTCATATATGAGGGAGCCAAACGGGTTCGCCGCATAAAGCTCAAGCATAACTCGCCACAATTCTAAACATTCTTGCAAGGCATTCAACGATTGGCGCCCAGCACCTTCGATGCACTCCATGGTGGAGTGAGCGCACACGAACCGCTATACTCATTTGACCCTCCAGCCCGGCGGAACTGCGCCACGCACGCGCGGACGCCGCCACTAACCACCGTCAACCCGTTTCAGACGAGTTCTCCTACGGCTTCATGATCGCGCACCCGCAGGCGGGCGGGCCGCGGCGACCGCAACGCCACCTGACTGAGAACGGCGCAACCATGTTCGGCAGCCACAACCGACGCCGGTCGGACGGCCGCCAAGCCTGGAGGTTCTTTATCGACGCCAGTGAGCTACCGGTTGGCGACAGCTCGCAATCCTACGTGCACCGAGTCCCGGGCGACGGCGGTGGGAGCGGCTTCTCCGGCGGTGAGAACAGCTTTTCCGGCGGTGGGAACGGCTTCTCCGGCGGCGAGAACAGCTTTTCTGGCGGCGGGAACGGCTTCTCTAGCCGACAGGGCCGGCTGGGCGACGGCAGCCTGCGCACGGAGGTCAACTACGCAGCCGGCAAGCAGCCGATCGTGGTGAAAGTGAGCCCGCGCCCGTACCAGCCGCTGCCGGAGGTGACGCGTCCGCTCGGCGCCGGTCCCGGCCCTGGCCAGGCCTTCGGCGGCGGGTTCGACCAGTCGGGGCGGCCCTTCGAGCGGCCATTCGGCCAGCGCCCGGAGGGTTCATTCGGACGGCCGCAGAACTCATTCAACCGGCCACAGAACTCATTCAATCGGCCCACAGGCGCATTCAACCGGCCCCCTGGGTCGTTCAGTCGGCCCCCGGGTGCGTTCAATCAACCGAACACTCAGGCTTACCAGAGCGGATTCGGCCAGACGGATCGGTTCCAGAATCGCCCGTCCGACGGTGGCCATCCGGGTCAGAACCCGTTCGCCATCGGCTGCCGCTGGATCGCAGGGCCGGCCGCTGCCGTCGGCGCCGGGCCTCGGTCGCCCGCAGAGCAGCCGGCCAGGCGTGAGGCCGGGCTTCGTGGTGCGCTGACAGTCCGCCGCCGGGCCCGCCGCTGCCGGAGACGGTGACGGCCCGTCCGACGCGGCGGCCGGCCAGCGGCGGTCTCCGCGTCGTCTACCGGCCCAAGCCCACCGGCGTGTTCTACGTGCAGGGCCGCGAGAACCCGAATCGAATGGGCCAGCTGGCGGAGGACACGCCGCTGAACGACCTCACCGGCACCGGCGCACTGCTGTCCGGCGGGAAGACGATGCTGACGACGGCGGCCGGGCCGAGCGACGAGGCTGGCTTCACGCGCGTCACCAATGCGCACAACGTGTGGCGTGTGCCGCGGCCGGCCGGTGGCGCGGCCGGCCGACAAGGCCGCCGGCTAACCGACCTAGGGCCCGGCCCGCTCGACGCGCCGTCGACCGGCCCGCCGTCGCCGGTCGCCACCTCAACGCGCGAACCGGCCGTCACCACGTACCGGCCAGCGTTTCACGGCGGCGGCGGCCGCTCCGACAACTCGACCACCGCCCGCGTCCGCCCGGGCAGCCAACGCGGCGTCATCCCTCGGCCGGCGACGCTGGCGCCGCCTGGATCGTTCGAGGGCGGCCCGGCGCACCACGTGACGGTCGACCCGAACGTAGCCGGTTCCGTCGCTCATATCGACGGCGGCGGGCCACTGCTGCCGGCGGGAGAGCCGACGGTAGCCGGCTTTCCGAGGATCATCAGGCCGTCGTCGCCGCCATTTCCTATGAGACCGTTTGGGGGTCCTGCCCCCTTCTCTCGGGGTCCCTTTACCGGCACGGCACCGTTCCCGGGGATGAAGGCGGGTCCACCAACCCCGCCGTTGCCTTCTGGTGGGTTCGGGCCCCCCTCGGTGGTCATCAACGGTGATGGTACCAGGCGTCCCGTCCCCGGGCCGCCCAACGGGCTGCCCACCACTCCGTCCGGGCAGGCCACATTTATGTTGCCGGCCGGAGAGGTGACGTTCCCGGGTCCACGGGCCGACGGCCGGTTCCAACACCGGCCAATAGACAGGCCGGCCGGGCCCGGCCTCCCCATGGAACTTCCCGTGCTCGGCAGTCACCAGATCTTCTCCACCACGCCTTTCCCGGGCATGGTGGTCGGAGGCCCGCGCGGCAACGTCCGCTTCAACCGCCTCCCCGGCCTCCCCGATCGCAGGCGGGGTGGCTTCCGCCAGTCGTTTCGGCGCAGGGGGCCGGCACCTGGAGCTCGGTTCGACCTGCCGGCCGGGTCGGTTCAGTTCCCCGGGCAGGGCCCGGACTTCCGGCTGACCAATCAGCTACACTCGACGACGGCGCCGTCCGCCATTGCCGGGCGCCGCGGAACGACCCCGGGCGTGTTCCGGCCGGGACCGCCCGGCTCCACGCGAGGTCCCGGTCCGTTCCCGACCGGCCCGTCCGGCCGCCCGGGGCACGGCGGTGTGGGCCCGGCCCTTTCGCGCGCACCGGCTGGCGCGCTTCAACCGGGCGCCCCGCTGCCTGCTAATTTCAACGAGGTGCGCTACTACGACGGCCCACCGTTACCGCAGGCGCTGCACGGACAGCCCGGACCGGGCTTCGACGGTCCGCCGCCGCACCTGCGCGCCGCCGGCTTCCGGGGCTTCTTCTCGTCGGCCGGTGGCCAGTCGGTCAGCAGCCTGACGGCGGCGCTGGCGGTGCTGCTCAGCACCGTCTGGGCGCGGCTCTGGATGGTCTGAACGCCGGCTGAGGGCCGCGAGCTCGCTGCGGCTGGCAGCCGGGAGAAGAGGCCGGGCCGGCAGCGAGAGGAGGCGGAGAGAGGGGCGGGAAGCCAGCAGACGGGACAGAGTGTGGGGATGACGAGGGGCGAGTGGTTCTGGGAGATGGTGGGTAGGGCAGAAAAGCAGCCGCAAAGGAAAGATCATCTGGAGAGACGTCAGTGAGAAAAGACCAGCACCATGATCTTGCCGCAGTTTGTTTTAGTGAAATGCACCCTGCAAGATGCACAGAGCACCCATGCATCTTTTCCATCCGATGAAAGGAGTCCGCGCAATCTGCGTGTGGTGATCTCGAAAAACTGACATGTTGCCTTAAAAAACCTTGCATTTCATAGCATTACTGAACATATGTATGCGAATGCACGTGCATTGGAATGACATGTATGGCTTGTACAGTGTGGCAGTTTGGATGGCCTGTGACTGTTGATTTTCATCGGAGAGGACATGCTGGTTGCGCGGGCACTCGTGAGGTCCTGCCGTGCACCGCATGCTTAGCCCGGTTAAAATCGGGAGACCGGCGCCCGGCCCATGTCCGCGCTGCTGCGTGATCGTGTCTCGCGTACATTTAAGTTATTTCGCGAGGCGATCTTTATCAATACATGTCATTGGTGGCTTGTTCTGGTGACATGAAGCACATTTTGGACACACACAAGATAAGCTCACCGGCACTGTGGTCATGTGAGACATACATATTTAGCGCTTATCGAGCGCCGTTCCCACGCTCCGCTGATGAGAGCAGGAAAACAACAGCTGGTTCTCACGGCGGAACAGTGGTGCAAGTGCTTCTCGAGAGCACTGGTATTTCATGCAATGATTTCCTGCGTAGATGCAATTATTTGTAAGGCTACAAAGACATTCGTAACGCCTCGATCATTACGTATCTTGTTAAACTGACGCCAACGTGTCAAAAGGTGTTTTTATATGCAGGGGATTAATAAATATGAACTTGATGTTTTTTGTGTCTCTGGCGTGAGATGAGTGTCTCAATAATTTTTGGCGGCGACACAATAGCAGGCGACATATGGGCGCCAGAATGCCCTGGTACGCGACAATCACTCGAAGTTTCGTTAGGACAAAGGTCCAAAAAAGCGGAATTTGGGCTGTACAGTCTTCACTGCACTACGGCTATGTACTTCATACTACCGAGACGTGACACGCGGCTTCATAACGCCAATCTGTTCACAAATACCCAGAGCTAGTGCCAAATAACATGTGGCACATTCGTAACAGCAGGTGCAGTGTGCACACCAGCACTCAAAAAGGCACGGCAAGCTTTCCGCGCTCGGCAGGTGAGGTCTCCCAAGGACAGTGTGCTTTGTTCTTGCCGTGACTGTGGACGCGGTTGCCCACCAACGAACGATATAATGGAGAAATACCGCACAGCTGGATAGCAATCTGTTTGTCGCTATTACACACACCTGTGAATTATTTGTAACACGTCGCTTTTAAAGTGCGTTTGATATTTTTAGAAACCCGACATTTTGAAGCAACGAATGCTTGTGTCCGGGCTCGAGGTAGAACAATCACTGAATAATCACGAACATTAATATGGCCTTACTTGTTAGCAGTGTTTTTTAAGCCAGCGTTAACAACACTAAGCGAAACTCCGCGGGCGGTGGCACAAGTGGTACGTCAGCAGGAGCTGTTCATCATCAGCTCTACCAGGTAGACAGCGGGTTCCGCTTCAGATGACGGCCTTCGGAATTGGAAAATACCACACAGCTGGCCGTGAACCACGGCATCCTGTATGGAATCACGTCCAGTGACACGCCGCGGTACAGAGGTCTACCGCACGACAGCTCAACACGAGTTGACAGCGCCGCTACGGTGTAGGTTCCACGTGGAAGCCACCCTCGCCCGCATGAGCAGCGCTACCCAGCCGCAGCCTGTGGGGAATTGACCTCTGGCATTCCTTCAGCGCCGGAACTGTCCACATTGGAATAGCACAGCCCCTTATCATGAGCGCCCAGCGACTTCAAACTCGTCTGATGACACGAAATACAAGTCATTTACATCTGGAACCTGTAGACTGGTACAAGATTGACACGACAATGGCATGAGATGGGGTAGAAGCGGGAAGGACATCACCACCACCACCGTCAGCTATTCAGTCTGAGCCTGGCGAGAGGTGTCTACAATGCTGAATTGGGGCAGCATTGCAGATGCCTGGTGGCGCAAGCTGGTTGAGGGGCACATGGGAGACGTTCCCCCTCCCCTCAGGTCCCTCCCCATGGCCGACAATTAAGGGCCCATTTGAGGACAGGGAAGGGCCCGAATGGCTGCCTGGAGGTCATATTTAGGTTCGGGTCCTGCGGGCCGGGCCCTCGAATGCCAATCAGAGAGCTCTTTGCGCCAATTGGGGACCCCTGAGTTGACGAGGCTCTTTATGCCGGTCAGGCACCACCAGAACTAAACAATCGGTTCCGTGTGGGTCTCAGCCTCAGGGCCCATTTCCCGAGCAGGGTCAAGGCCGGGGACCGCGATATTCACTCGTCGGGACCCATGAAACGAGGGGCCGCATGCCGGTCAGGCGTCCGGAGTAACCGACAGCGGCCCTGTGTCGGCATGCCGGTCCGGCGTCCGGAGTAACCAACAGCGAAGATTCCCACGCGTGGGATCACGACTTCAAATATCAATAAGATATAGTTTATACCAACAGGAGACAACCGCAGACAATGTGGGCCCCTATTTTGGCTAGATGCACCAACACTGGACAATCGGCTCCTTGTCGGTCTGAACATTGGGGGCCATTTCCCACGCGGGGATGAGGGCGTGGTCCGCAATTTACATTGGTCGGGACCTCCTAAGAGAACGAGGGACCCTTTGCCAGTAAGGGGCCGACAGTAACTAACAGGACGTCATGTCTCGACAAGAGGTTTCTAGTCGTAGAGGAGAACACTTCCTGAACAGGTACTAGCACCCGAGTGCCAGAGAGCCTCTTGCGTTGGTCGGCGCCTTCCGACGCCGCAATGAGCTAATGCAAGAGCCCCGCGTCGATAGGGGCTTCCAGTAGGGAGCGGGGTGGGGAGGGGAGGACTTCGCAGTAATTTCAGCTAAGGGTCCGTTACGCCGAACTGGAGTCTCTATGCCAGTCATGATCACCAAAGTATGATTCATTCCTCTGAGGGCCTCCGGACTGACCTGGGGATCCTGCCCCGTGTCTCCAGCATGGCAGTCGGTAGGCACCCCGCGACCGCACAGAGTGTCCCTTCAGCGCTTGGCCGGGAACAACAATGTGCCCCTAGTGTTCTTTCTACCCAAGGCGCCCCTCCACGTCCATCCTTTGCAGAACCGACTTGGGAACAAATAGCAGCAAAAGTTTTGAGCCCGCACGCTGGCAGTCTAAGAAAACAAGAGCAATTATAGCTGGGGTTGCAGTTTCCGTAAAACAGAACGGCGTTGGTTGCTGCAAATAACACCAGGCGGCGCGCCGGCCGCGCGAGAACGATCGTCGAGAAATAATGCTTCCTGAAAATCTTCCAAAATCACTTCGCAATGTTCATGCATAAGACTGGGGTGTATATTTTACCTTTAAATCTTCGAGGTTGTCCTCCGGACAGATACACCATCACGGCGACATAAAAATAGATATTCCTTATTTGCACTTCTAGCTCCACTACAAGAGTCTGCACCAGTTGCAGTACTGTAAATGCCATGTGTT